TTTAAAAAAAGGTTTTTCCACCCCCACGTACAATCCCAGGTGAAAGAGGTTGACGGATTCAAATGAAAGAGGGAAGAACGCAGAGTAGTAGATGGCTGATTCGGCTAAACCCCTGAAAATCACATGACTGGTTGGAAAAAGCACGTGTCAACAAATTTAAAAAACCAATGAGAAAATATGCAAATTAAGTAGTCAACGGGAGCAAACCCAAGATCTCGAAAATCTAAAGATCAGTCTTCTTTTTCATAACAACAAACAAAAACAGACAACATTTCTCGTTTCTAAAACAACATATGCTAAATTTCAAAAGTCATTAAAAACAACAAAATAACGAATGTAATCATGTAAAACTGTGATTGGAACAACGTAAGACAAAATAACACTTTCCACTTTCTATCAATACATCCGAATTGAAGAGATCAGAGCTTGTACTTAGATCCACTGCTGGAGGCTTCTAGTGATTTCACTTTTAGCATCTTTTTCTTCTTCGTAGTCTTCTCCTTTATTTCCTGGAACGAACTTTGAATTAAAGTGATTGTGGAGAAATGGAGGAGAATGGTAGCAAAATTTTTCTGAAGAATAAATTAGACGAAACAACAAGTGAAGGTCCGAACAAAGCAAAAATCAAATCACAGTGGACAATTGAACTTCACAATAACAAAAAGAAGAATGTTCCATAAAACAACTTACTTCTCTCACAACCTGCTGTAGTTTTGTAAAGAACTGAGTGCTTTTCAACTTGTCTCCTGTTTGCACGTCTGTTGCAGCAGAACTCTTCTTCTTTTTCTTTTTCAAACCTTCCATTGCTTTTTCCTCACCGAAGAGTTCCACCATAGCTCTGAACAAGCAGCAATGAAGCGGTAAATGATCAAATTAAGATTATGATAATAACAGATGGGACCAAGAAGAAAGAGCTTGGATGAGCACCTCTGCCTATTTTTCTTCTTTCGTCTCTGCCGTAGAACGTCCGTGCGATCACGTTCCTCATCTGCTTTAAGACTGCCCTTCTGGTGCTTCTTCACTTCTTCTGGAGCAAGTAATTGCGCATCTGTTGAGGCGCTCATACCAACTTCTTCTACTCTTAAGGCAGGCATATTCGAGACAACGCGGACCTCTGGACGGACCTTTAAAACAACATATTTTGCAATGTAATTTTCTGCATACATAGACATAAAAAAATTATTCAGTTGAAAGATGTAGAAAAAGAATATGACGTCTTGCGGTGAAAATGTCACCTACCTCCGGTGGCGTATAATCAAAGTTAGAAAGTGCGTCAATTAATCGGAATAGCTCTCGCATTCGTTTCTCAATAGCTATATGTTCATCGTTTACTCCATTGCTCTCACCTTGTTCCTGGAATCGTTAGCTCAAGAGATACGGAGAAGAGCACTTGTGATGTCATTCAAAAAATCACCCCAGCCGTTTTTTGGTACTCCTTTTCGTAAACCTCCGCCAAAGAAGTTTTAACCATTTCTCTTTCTTCTATGGCCTGATTCCGGTAAGACTCAGTTCGCTCCTCGATACGTTTTTTGCGTACAACATCATCAAATGACTATAATGAGCGATTTGAAGCAATTTGCTATACTGGGCAGTTCAAATCTATGAAATGACTGACAATCTTGAAGGAAACTATCACAAGAAAAGAAATTTTACTTTCTCAAGTAATATACTAGTACTCTCGTATACTTGGCTGACTTTTTAGATGAAGAAAATGTGGCTTAGTAACGAAAACAAATGATTTGGATGGTGAGATGTTAACGTATCGACTAAACGACGCTTACCTTGTCTTTAATGCGCTGCTTGATTAACTCCTCCAGCTTCTCCGTGAATATTTCCGTTATTTCAGGCGCTTTAAACAGAAAAAAA